TGGAAAGGTCCTGGAACATGATTTCTGAAAAATGGCAGGAACCCTGTGATTATCTGTTTAACGCTGCCCTCTAATTTGCTAGTTCGCTCCATTTTGTGTTAGTTTGTGTTCAAACAATTGACCGCCCTATATGGCGTCTTCAAATTGCCTGTTCTGGTTCAAGCGAGTTGAATTTCGTCTGCGTTTGACGTTTGTTTACCTGCCTCGGCTGATGAGGAGATTGGTCGCAGCTCCTGGAAAAGTATCTTGCTCGTTTTATTTCCTCTGCCCCTTCCTGTCAGTCTTGATTATCGGACTGTGTGTGGACTTGTCGCTCTGCAGCTGGTGTACCACAGTCTGCAGCTGGTGGCGTTTGCTGTCCTGGCCGTCCTCATCATGCGTCTGAAGCTCTTCCTGACGCCCCACATGTGCATCATGGCCTCCCTCATCTGCTCCAAACAGGTCTGTCTCTCACCACAAGTAACAAAAACAAAAAGCCAAATAAAGATAGTTTCCCTAATGTCATCAGTGTTTCACCTGTAAAGTTTCTTCTCCATTTCAATTATTTGTGTATTAATAAGCAGATTATCTGTTTGAGCACACATTCTGTACTTTAATAAGGCTCTCTCTCTCTCTCTCCTCTCTCTCTCTCCCCTCGTCTTCTCTCATCTGTTTCTCCCTGGTTGTTATGTCCAGTTGTTTGGCTGGATCTTTTTTTGGGGAGAGTTTTAAACACACGAAATCGTTTTGGGGTGTTTGCGTTCAATGGCCATCCTATTGGCCGTACAAGGGAGTGGGCCAACCTGCAGGGCCCAGTGGCGATTATTGGAGAGTTCAGCAACCTGCCGCAGGAGGAGCTGCACTGGATCCAGGAGAACGCCCGTCCTGGTGAGTTGGATACACACAAAGTTATTCAAGATTACTTCACAAGCTTGTTCTGAACTGCAACAGTACACAGCACCAAGAGACCTCCTGGTCCCACTTTATATGCCAGCATAGATCTTCCAAGCATGAACTCAATATCGAAAATACTCTCACAGGCTGAACAAAAATAATATTTCCTTCCAAAGGTCAAGGAGGTAAAGATCAGTGTGCGACAAGTGGGTGACATTTTGCTTGTTTCAGTACCTGGTAACAATTGTTTTGGCGAATGTGAATGTCAAAAGATGTCTAGACATCTAAGATTAAACCGGGCTAAATCTGTTTGAAATGGTAACGGTTGTTTGGTTGTCAATGTATTTGAATATACATTCAGTTGCCAGTTCAGTAGGTACAGCTGAAACCAATGCAATCTGATACATGAAGGTTATAGTTATAGTTTTGTTTAAATTGTTTAAGAGAGCTGTTGATTTATTTGCATGATAGAATTGGAGTGATTTTGTGGTTATACTGATGGATGTTTCTATTATTTTCCAACCCCATATGGTATATCAATAGGGTAGACGTAAGGAACAGAAACCACCTCTCAGTCAGAACTGAGCAGCCTCCAAAATGATCATACAGTTGATTTCTAAACTTTTACTAACTTGTCTCAAGATTGCTAAATTGTCACAAACAGTAGTTGACATAAATCCACTCAACAGCATTCATCTTCTATCTCTTTTCTTTTTTTGTCTTATTTATTTCTTTTTTTTTGCGTGTGCTTGTTGCAGATTCTGTGTTTGCCGGGGCCATGCCCACCATGGCCAGCGTGAAGCTTTCCACAGGTCGGCCAATCGTCAACCACCCCCACTATGAAGATGCTGGTCTGAGGTCAGTGGAACTCACAGTACAGCACAACTGCTCTTGTGCTCAGAGCAGAGACACAAAGAGAAACAAACAAAGCATCCATGTTTGGCTAGAGGCAGTTTCCAATCCTCTTCACCCTGGTCAAAATACAGCACATACTTCATAACGGGGTGTGTATATGTATCTCTTTCTCAGACAGTTCGATACACATCTGGATACACAGTCTGCAGTCTGATAGGAAATAGTACAGAGAATTTTGTAACTTCAATTCAGCCGTGACTGGAGAACTTCACGGTAGCGGGAGGTTGTTACTCAACAGCACACAAACTAGAGGCACAGGAGTGAAGAAAGAGCGAGAGAGTTTTAAACAATTATGGAATTCTTTATAAAATGTGTGTAAAATCTATATCTCTTTATGTAAATCTCTTTCTCTGATGTGTTTTGAATAATCTTTCCATAGCTAAAGTGTATAATAGGGCTTTGCAATTAATTTAAATATACAAGTGCAATAGGAAAATTGCAGAAGCTTTTTTTTATCCAGGTAAAATGTGTGCCAAAACAGCATTAAAATGAAGTACGGTAAGTTTCCATGCCCTGTCGTACAAATCTCGGTCTACGGATGTGAGAAAACATGTTCTTTCGGTACAGAACCGAACACATTTCTATCATTTGTTTAGTTTTTTCAGTGAAAATGAAAATCATGATGCACAAAATGATCATTCCCACAGTTACACCCCAATAAACTGAACACCCAGTCCCATCAGAAAGCAAAAGCAACTAGAATATACTTTAAGTAGAACCTAAGCAGCATGTCCCGGCTGGAGGAATAGCAGAGAGAGAGAACCGAAATCCCCCGCCCGCTCTTTATTGGTTCCCACCTGAGAAAAGAGCCGAAACACATTAGTGACTGTCATGTGTCTGACCAGCAGGGGGGAGCTTGTAACACTCACCAATATTGAATCATATTGAAATCTCAATGTCTGTCAGAATATTCACAACATTGATTTTTTTTTTTTACCATATCCTGCAGCCCAAGTGTGCAATACACTGCAAGATGCATTGAACACTGATGAACGTATTTTCATGTCAAACAAATTACAGGAGAAATTCTTTGAACAATAACTTTATCACAAGCTTTATTCAGTGCTTTATATAATGAGACAGTAAGGTTGTAATCAAAAGAAATAAATTCCTGAAATGAAATGTACATAAAGCATTTAAAATCAAGTCTGAATTTAAAAGTCATTCTCACCCTTCCGCATTGTAACGGCGCTGTGTTTCGTTCCTCGCAGGGAGAGAACCAAGCTGGTTTACTCCATGTACAGCCGCATGTCTGGAGAAACCGTAAAGAGGAACCTGATGAAGCTGGGAGTGGACTTCTTCGTCCTGGAGGATTCCTGGTGCACCAGGCGAACCAGGTACCTCAACACCATGAGTGCCGTCTCACAGGAAGAGGCACATTGTTACCTGGGACCACGTTTTCTTTCACATTTTTATTCTGGGCATTCAGTTGCTGCGTATCGAGAAAGAATTACAAAGAGGAAAGATATTAATTTAGTTAAAATGCAATGCGAATAGTTCATAATAATGATTAACCACCTTGTTTTCCTTTCTCTCTCTTTTTCTCTCCTTCTCTTCATTTGTTTTATTCCCTCTCTCTTTGCCCAGGCCTGGGTGCAGCATGCCAGAGATCTGGGACATTGAGGATCCCCAAAATATTGGTAAAATCCCCCTCTGCACCCACATGTCCAGGAACTCACGACCCCACTTCACCACAGTCTTTTCCAATGACATTTACAAAGTCCTCAAAGTCCCCAAAGCTACAAAAGATCTCAGATAACATCGTTGGACAGACAGGTTCTTTCCACCGCCTCTGGTGGGTCACTGCCGTTGCGAACTTTTTACCTTTTACTTTCTCGAACCCCCCCCCCTCACAGTTCCACTTTTCTGTAGTATCCTTTTCCCTGAGCAGTGGACTAACAGTAGGTTGGACAAAACAATTTTGCCTTGAGTCTCTCCACTCTTGGTGCCCTTACAGGTCTCAGTATTTGTGACTTAAAGAAACTCCCTTTTTCCCACATATTGCCAGTCATCCTTATTGCTGCATCTTCGTCATCCGGCGACGTTCCCATTACGCTCGGTGCCCAAGTGAAAAGCCAAAAGGTGTCGCAGCTTTCTTCTGGTTTGTTGCGTCGGTTCTGTTACATAGATCCTTATTTTAAGAAACATTCTCCTCAAAGAGAAGCTGTTCATACATCAGTATTGGTTTTTTTACTGTATGGAATTCATTTTCTTTGCGCTGAAGAAGTAAATTTTGTCTGGCGGGACCAATCAATGATGTCCACATACTGTGAAGCAATACCCTTTGCAAACTTGACAAAAGCTGACTTCTTCTATTGTTATGCACAGTGTAGATCTCTGAAAATAATTTTCAGTAGTACACTATTTTTATAATTTATTTGTGTGAGTATTTTTTATGCAAACTTCAAGGTGTTAAAACATTTTCAAGCCAACAGTATTTTAAGAGTCTTTGGAATCACGGGAAAATTCAGTTATTTTGTTCAAAATCTTTTTGATATACATCATTCAGCCTTTGCCTCAAGGTAAAATTTACGTGGTGACTCAGCTTTCATTCTTAATTCATTATAACCTGGTGGAAAAAAGGTTTTTTAATGGCAAATCATAGGAAGTAAATAGGGGTGCAACAGATCACAAAACTCACAGTTCGGATCGGATCACGGTTCTGAGTCACGGATCGGATAATTTTTTTGAATCAGACTATGACTGCTATGCTGCTTTTGCTCCGATATAGCCGCTAGGAATGGGAATTGATAAGATGCTATTAATACCATTATCAGTTCTGCTCATTAGTCCAGTTCTTTGTGGAATTGTAAATTTGTTGAATGTACACAGGTTTTCAAAGTAAATGCAGTTATTTTATCATCTCTTATAGAGTCTGAACACTGTAGAAACTGAGTAGAGTTAAGTTTATTCATGAAATGGAGCAAAGCCTAGGACCATTTCTTCCTCACCGCCATGACTCCTCCTTGTTCCAAGCAGCATAGACATATGGGTTTGACGTCACCGTTCTGCAACGTGCAACTGTCAGAAAAACATGCTGACATTGGATCAAATAATTTAGAAGCGGTTTTATACTGGAAGCTGACGGCTGCTGCGTCACAGACAAGCTTAGACTGGAGCTGCTCCGATGAGCGGATCTGTGCATCGATGGGAAGGCAGCAGATATTTCCCAACTTGGAATAAACATCACAGTCTTATTATCTATTTTGTAATGACCGGTTTTGCAGTTACACCACTGAAAATGCCCGAAGTCACAGCCTACAGGATTCTACTCAGTGGAGTTAAATCCGTTGCTCTTCCCTAACCCAGTCATTAGGATTCAGATTTTAACAGCACACATCTGTTTTGTATATCTTTTCGCTGAAAACTGACTCTGCAAATCGAGATTTAAGGAAGTACTCATTTAGGGGGGGCAGGCAGTCTGTACGGATCAACTATGATCTGTTGCACCACTAAAAACTGAACAAGTAGATTGCCTGTACTGTGTCATTTGACAGCGTTTTTGTAAATACCCAAACAACTGTTTTGTAAAATGCCACTGTACAGCCTTTAAAAGGTACTTTTTGTTTCTTGAATTGTTAATTGCCAAAGTAAGTCTTTAGTAATTAAAGCTGCGTGTTTGGGGTACTGTAGCACATGAAAGATGTGTGTTTTAGTTATTGAGAACCATCAGTTTGTGAGTTCTGTAACAGCCAATCCAAACTATTTGTAGCAGTGGATTTTATGTAAATGGTAGCAGTCGTTGGTTCCTTCTTGGGGCCTCATTAATGACTGTTTGACATTTTAGGAAATGATTTGCTTATTCACTTACTTGCTAAGAGAAGACTGATACCACTCTTGTGTCTGTAGAAACAAGAATCTCCTTCGGAAGGGGACAGTTTAGCTCATCACTATCATTAGCTTGTCTTTTACAACCACTGTAGGTTCAATTAGCAGTGGCACCATAGCTGCATGTTGTATTGGTGGTTTCACCTTATATCATCTTTTTTAATTGCAGTCAGTTTAACTCACATTCACTATACTTTAAGGTTTTTTTCTCATATCAACCCCATTTTATTTGTTACTGAAGCTTGGTGCCACTTTCAGAAGGGGGAAAAGCTTTACAACACGTTTTTTTTTTCACATGGCTCTATAAATGAGTCAACATACAGCAGGTTTGTCTTATAGTGATAGTTGTTTGTCTTTGAAGGACTAGTTCAACATTTTGGAAAAATAAAATGCTTCTTCCCGTTTTCGTCCAGAGTTAAATGTGAATATTGATTCCACTCTTGTGTCTGTCAGCAGGTTAGCTTAGCTTAGCTTAGCACAAAGACTCAAAGAGCTGGTCTGGTCAGTTCAAATATGTACCTCACAAGACCTCTACAAGCGTAAAGAGTTGTGGTTTTATAGGACGTTATGTGCTGGACTGTTTTTTGACCGAGGGTAGCAATCTCCGCTGGTTGCCTGGCAACCTTGCAGCGACAACAAGATAGCAAAAGGTTAATGTTCTTACCAAGAAACAGTCTGGCACATAACTTCCTGTAAAACCTCAATTACTCATTTTTTACTCTAGTTTTTGTACGGATTAAACAAATGAGAAATGGGCAGTCAAATGATTCACTTTAGAGGTGCTGGTAGGTAGATTTTGTTTGATTTTGTCCAAAATGTCAACATGTTCCTATAAGAGGCAGGAGTCGAACATCATCACTTCTTCCTCCTACAAGAGTGCGAGTCTAGGCCACCGCTGCACAAACATTTGGCTGTTAATGGGTTTTCTGTTGCATGTTTACTCCTCCAACATGATGACATATATTTCACAATCACTAGTGACTTCTCAAATATTCTGTGATGGTTTTGTTTCTATAAAGGCTTCAAGTTTCTCTCAGCTTTAATGTATTTCTCGTGTATGAAGTTGTAACAGGTTGAAATCATTACGGTACAACACACCTCGGTGCTGCTGATTTCATTGATTTGGCACCGGAAAGTACAAATATTAAAGAAAGATTAGTGAGATGATACTTTTAAACGAAAACAAACGTACGTTCACAATTCAAAAACTCCTACTGTGATGAGATTAAATGTGCCAGAGCGAGCGGTTGAACAAATCATACGGTGCACATTTAATCTGTGACATTCTGTCGGTCTGATTTCAGAGCTGTTTGTTTGTTTGTGTACTATTTGTACAAAGACTGAGGTTTCGCGGTGTAGAAGTGAAGTGCCCGTTTTAAAGGAGTGGGGCGGTGGTCACACTTCCTGAAACACTTTGACGTAAATAGTTTATTCCTGTCGCAGGCGTTGGTGTGTTTCAGATGTCTTTTATAATATTTGTCTATTTTGTCTGTATTTTAAAAAATAAAGTATTTGCCTTCAGCACTACTGTTTTTTTTTGTCTTAATGTGTTTAAAAGAAATAATTTTCTTTCTCAACTTAAGTCTATTAAGGAATGTTTGACTTCGCACACAGCGGTTGAGTTTGACAGCTGCTTTATACAAAGTCGACAGAGGCACACTTTTTTTTTTTAAAGCTTTGGCGTTTGCCCCATGCTTTGTTTGCTGGTGTCCTCCATTTCTGTCAAACAACCTAATATTAATAGCTTAGTTTAATGACAGGTCACCAGGGCTTGCTCTCAAGCTGATAGTGGTGCACCCTCTGCTGGATCACAAAGTAAACTGCACCTTTAATGACCTGTAAGGATCTACAAAGAGCACCACCATTGTTGTTACTATAGGTTGTTACAATCAGTTGACCTATCACAGGTGAAAACAGAAAACCCACTTACAAACTGATCTAATAAAGGCCCCTTGCCTTCACCGATATGTTTTTAAATTACGTTAAGGTGACCAGGAATGTTTGTGCAAGCGAGCCATCCTGTCCTTGTATAAGTGGAGTGAAAACTGTGTCTATGTTCTCGGTCGGTGTTGGACACTCAGCAGTCTGT